GAAAAATACATGTAGCTGAATTTCTGTGTGGTTTTCCACCCGTTAACATTCGCTCTGTGCTCGAACTCCTCGAGCCAGTCATGTGCGTCCTCATATGCGTTTCTGTGGAAGTCAACCGGTAGTCGAGGGTTCAACACAGTCACCTGTGTCGTGCTTGGCAGCACAGGTTAGGGCCAGTGCTTCCAGGCACCGTCATGCTTTCTGGCAGGGTCACACTTTCCGGCTATGGACCGAACTCCGGGCTGAGGCCTAAGAAGCGGTGGCATGCTGCGGTGAACGGGAGTGTCGATGCGCGGAAGTATTTCTGGACTAGATGCGGGGCTGTTGTCAGGCATCCCGAACATGTACCCAGCGCCTCCACTGGTGTGACAATACAGAAACAGCAGCAGTTGAGTACAGGACAACTCACTTTAATTGTACCAGAACACTGGCAAACTGATCGGATGAGAACCTCATCTTTCGCTCTCGCTGAGCGAACTCTTCGTTGTTCTCTTGGTCCTGCATATTCTATGCGGCAATAAGTAAGTTGAGAGGAGGGTTATTGGGCACGTCTCACGGCCGGCACTGCACTGTGTTGGCCACGTTAATCAGCACGTTAACCACACCTGCCTCTTTGTGCCATACTGGCCGCTGCCGTGAGTCAAATGCGTAGCTCGGGGAGCTATCAGGCAATCTTCAATGGGGTTGAGAGCAGGTAGGTGAGGGGGCTTGGTAGGATATCGGTACCCATGCGTAACTCTCATCATAGAAACTTGTCACGTGCTGCCGTGCCTACGAAGCGACGAGAAGGAAGTGGACGTAGCCGCGAGGAGGCGGGCACTCGGATAATCGAAAATTGACGGCTTGGGTGGTGTCTTGCCATCAAGTGAGCGTTGGTGGAATCACCGGAGAGGCGACCGGAGAAGTGCACACTGGCAACATTAGTGCACATGCTGGCGGCCGCCAGACAAGGCACGAGCATATTAGGCTTGTCGAGCAAGCTCCAAAATACATTCCTCCCCCCCCCCCTCTATTTCCTGCAGTCGCGACTCAAACCACTGCCGCTGCTGCCAATCAATCCAGACAGGTGTTCGACGTCTGACAATGATGAAACTCAGCACAACTGACGTACACGAATACAGGGGTGATATGGCTGAGACTAAATTGGCAACAATTAATTTTCAAGTTTTAAGCAGACGAACCTTCCATTGGAACAGTTACCAGCATTTAATATGTCGTTGAGGCGCTTGAAAAAAACAAATTTTCAGCAACGTGTGAATACAAGTGCATATTTTAATTGCCTTATATTACGCATAACACTGAAACAGACTTTGCAGAAAGTTTTAAGCAGAATATTGCTCGGTACTACCTTTTTAAATACCGCGTGATGTACCTAGCACTTGTAAGAAAAATGCGAAATAACATAAAAAAGATATTTTGAAAACTAGGTTCACCGGAAACATAAAAAAAACGCATCACCTTCTTCAAGATTAAAAAAATGCAATTGCACGAGAATTGTAGTTACGTAACACCTGGGCCTTCGTTTAAGAAAAGTGACATGATAGTGTCAAGTGTACTGCAAGCTTTTAACAGAAAACAAAAGCGCGCTGAACCGCCGTTCTTCACCTTCTCGTGCGACACTATTTTCAAGAAGCCTCGGCGCACCGACCATTTCTTAAAGATTGTGCGTATGGCACTAAATAATGAATGAATGGCACTGGTAACTGCTCTTGACGCGCGCAACCACACATTACTAATACTGCCCACGTTGCTCTGTTCTATTTTTGTTATTATCGTAGGCCATAACCGCTGATGTAGAGGACCTCCAGATATATATATATATATATATATATATATATATATATATATATATATATATATATATATATATATATATATATATATATATATATATATATATATATATATATATATATATATATACTTGCGATTGCCGCCCGTGCCGCTCCGCGACTCGCGTAACTTGCACAGCGCTACGCAGATAACCTGCGTGTTCACGCAAATGAAGCGCCGAACGTACAGAGGCCGGTTTAGTTGCAAATAAAAAAAAAGGATGTATGCCAGTTACACTGCAGAACAGCCGCCGACCGAAACACTGGTAGAACGTAAGCTAAACCTAAAAGCTCATGCAGCCCAGAGCCGGCACGCAGCGACGCCTGTGAAAGTGCTTGTTGCGACATAGAAGTGTGGGAGTTTGGGCTAGTTGGTATGGCGTGACGATAGTTATAGCGCGAGAACATAACGACGACAAAGGAAAAAAAAGGAGATGAGCGCTAACTTTCAACTGAGTTTATTGCACAGAGTGCGAAAACATATAGAGGAGACAGTAACAAGGTTACAAAAACCATGTGGCACAAAGAGGAATGCATGAGTAAGGAAAAAGAACAAAAGCAAAGAAAAGAAAAAGGCAAAGAAAAATGTATAAGGAAACGAAATATAAAAGTAAAAGTAAAAGTACTATAACTCGTTGCTCGCACCGAAAACTTCGAAGAACCTTAGTTCCTTCTCGGACAGAGACACGGAGGGCTTGCTAATGCATGACACCTGTTCGCGTGCCATCTGCTCGGCCTCTACGATAACTCGGATCAGCGCCTCTTCGGGTCAGCGCCTCCTCTATAAAAAATAGAGGAGGCGCTGCTCGGGTGCGCTCATCCCTGGGTTTATAAATGTGTCCTTGAAAAGGGGCACACAGTTGCACGCAGTGCAGTGCTGAGCAAGAAAACCACCTTTCCCGTTTCTAATATTGTTAGCGTGTTCTCTCAGTCGATCGTTCAGGCACCTTCTATTAAGGCACCTTCTGTTCTGGCACCTTCTGGTCGTTCAGACATAACAAGCACCACAGGAAAGGGGGGTCTGTCTCCTCTATATGTTTTAGCGCTTTGCGCAATAAACTCAGTTGGAAGTTAGCGCTCGTCTCCTTCTTGTCCCTTTGTCTTCGTTCTGTTCTCGCGCTATAACTATCATCATCGGCTTGTTGCAAGTTTCGATTACCAAATTGAGCAGTGGCAAATCACCGTTTATGAAAACTGTGCCACATGATCACTGACGCGTCTTTTAGTCAAGAATAAAGCGCTGAGGTATTCGTTAAAACTGGTTTGAACACGCGTTCTGTCACCACGGGTTTGCAAATAAGCAAGTGGGTCTGTCGCTGCCTGCAGACACCTATGGGCGGACTTGGAGTGCTATGGCTTTTTAAAAATACAAAATGCAATGAAAGCTCGCTTGTCTAAATAAACTGGTAGTGAATGGGGTCGACCGGGAGCAACCCGCACGCGTTCTCTCACTAACGAAACCCAGTTTGAGAGCTAACAAGCCAGTGCGTCCAGGAGATGAGTCTCATGGAGGGGAATGACTCCACGTTCACGCAACAAGACTCGCTCACAGCAAACGCAGGTGCGTAGGTGACCGCACGCAGCAGCGTCGACATGAAAACCGATCGCCGCGACCGGAGAAACGCGCCACACACAACAAAGAACCTTAGAGTCAACACTGCCACACATTACACTCGATCGGTTAGGGAGGATAACTCGGTGGTTTCGCTAAGCGACAGTGGTGCCACAGCCTAGCTAGTAGAAGCAGGACGATCGATGCGTGGCAGCAACTTTTTGCAGGGTCACGCATATTTACAACAGTCCAGAGGAGATTAGGGCGGCACCAGAAAGATTCAAAGTAAAAAAAAGCACGCTTTGGCGTGTCTTACTTATATGCGAAGCAGCTCTTTGACTAGCCTGTGTAATGCTGTCACTCCGTGCGTCCGTATGCATGCGCCACAACCCTATTCCCTCGCCGCAGGTGTTGGAGCGTTGCGAAGTAGGTTACGCCACACGCCACATAGTTTCCTAAAATTAACAAAAGGAAATGCTGGTACTACGATTGTTCAGCGAGCATGGAAGTGGAGGGTAGTACACAGATTTGCCAAGTCTTTGTACTTGCAGGTGGCGATTCCCACTTGTGGCTTCGTAACGTCATTGCTGTGTTTCGGTTTTGTTTTGAAAGAAAGAACGAACTCTTTTGAACTACGCGAGCCAATTTGAAATGGTAAGCATAAAAGATTAAGGTAATGAAGCGCAACTGCTGAAAGCTTGCCGAATGTTGTTTAGTGACAAAGCAGCTTCATGATGAAACAAGTGGTAAAAATTACACATACCCAGTAAGGACGCAGGCGAGCGCAAGGAGGGCACCTGCCAACCGAAGTTTTCAGACACTTGAATAATTGGTTGGCGCGAAAATTCTTGCTTTTGAGGCTGTTTTAGAGCAGTTCGGCGTATTTTTGAGATTTTTATGCTTTTGGAATGGATTGACGCAAGAAAACAGAAACGTATAAAATATATGCCATATGCACAGCTGTGTCACCCCTGCGAATAGGACTTGTAGTGATCGGCGTCGTCTGTTCCCGTGTAATATGAGAGTTCACCATGCCGCCCTTGCGTTGTCGGCATTGCAGCGTGCTTTGCGAGCTGTTTTACGTGAACGTGGGTGACGACACGGGTAACATGATCCGCCAGAGACAGCTTGTCTCGACTAGGAGGTCAGTGGTAGCAGTGATATGCTTATGGCTGCGCAGATGCACGGCCCCAGCGACCCGGCGACGCATGAGCTTGGGGCTTAGCGCATGCGCAGTACCGCCACTTCAACGTCCTGGGTACGCAAGTTTGTTGGGTACCCACCAATAAAACTCTCTAGTGTCTCCACTGTCCAGATAGCCTCGCTCGCCCTTCACCGTAGTTGGGTTGCACGCCTTCTCTTTTACTTTGACCTACAAAAAAAGGCGTCCCCCCCACGTAGCCACCTTAGAGAGGGGGACGTGGAGTTTGCCCCATACATTAAGTTAAAAGGGATGAGAGGTGCTGCGACGTACCCCCCCCCCCACCCCTTTCCTAAAAGAGCCCTGCACACACTTATGATAATTATCACTCTCATGACAGCAGGAATAATCACCAGTTCCGCAGTACCATTTTATAATTTAAAAAATCTTCAAGGGTTCGGCAGGAACAACCCACCTGTAGCTGATTGTTGGCGTACCGATCAAGGAACTTGAAGGCTGGCCGACTGGTGAAGTACCCAGTCCAGAAGGCGTGTGGGTCACTCGCGTACGGAAAGAAGTCGTCCGTCTTTGTGGGCCAACCAGTTCTGGATGCGTGTAGTGCCTTTAGGTAGCACGACGGCGTCGAATATAGCAGATGCACTTTGGTTTTGTCCGACTGTAACAACAGATATAAGCAAGAATGACATCGACCCCGCAGGCAGCTTCTGTTATGTAGCTTTGCTCTCTCTACACAGTAATGGTGCATGGCGGTATTGGTAGTTAGTTTACGAGACGCTTATTTCTGCCGCCCTTGAGAGAGCACGGCGTACAGTGCTGCACGGGCCAATTTTTGTGGCTCGAGCCCGGCAGGGTGCTTTTAAATACGGCCCATACCCGGCACTGGCCCGAAGGGTTTTGGAACATCCCGATCTGGCCTGGCCCGTTTCAGCCAATTATGCCTGGAGCATAAACGAGGCACTGTCCGATGTTCGGTAACTGTGACGATACTTGCCGCAAACAAGATATTTTCTAGACTGTCTTGAGAACTTCTTTTCAACTGGTACATTCTATTTACTTATTTATTTATTTATTTATTTATTTATTTATTTATTTATTTATTTATTATACCCTCAGGTTTCACATTACAGAGGGGAGGGGCATGTTACATGTAAAAAAATGGGAAACAACACTTGATAAATATATACCAGAACGAAATTTCAATAATTGGCAGAATAATACATAACAACGTTATATATAAACTACGTCAACAAAGACAACGTAGCAGTAGCAATAATGCAGGTAGTACATATTCAAGCACTAAGCAAAGAACAACAAACAATCTCAAAAACAAAAAAAAAACAAAGAGGGCATGACACACAAACACACACACACACACACATATATATATATATATATATATATGTGTGTGTGTGTGTGTGTGTGTGTGTTCCTTGGCATTACTGTCTGTTAGATCTCATTACTATTGTGTCAAACCACGGACAAACGAGCCCTTAGCTATACACTTCTTTCCCTTAAATATATATATATATATAACACAAAGCAGAAATCAAGTAGCGCGAAACATGTTTTGTAAAAAAACCTTAAAACGTGATGTGTCGGTGATTGCGGTAGCTGATCCAGGGAGTAGATTCCATTGAGATATAGTTCTTATACTTTCAGGTAATCACGCCCGTAACACTTCCGTGAAATAACTGCAGGGTAATTAAAATATAATTGGGCTGTATCTAGTACGCAGGGCACCACAACATATTGTTTTTTTTAATTTCAGAGAATGACTCCAAAATATACCACACCCAGAAATTGAAAAAAAAAGGCAGACATTTATAGTTCAAGTTGAGCCTAAATAGTTTGCATGCAGGCCGGGTTTGTCGAGTAAATGTAACAAGTCTTCTGCAAACGTAATTTATTAGGTCTTGGAATTTAAAAAAACACGCTTTAGATGATTCTGAGAGGACCAGGGGGCGGAAACTCTGTATACCTCTCAAGTATTCACTCTCGACAGCGGCAGAGCCACTTTCACCACTGGCGGTAAAACTGTGCCAAAGCTTTGACGACCTGCGCAAACAGCGCCTTTACCTGTGGTGTCAGAATTACCACAGTGGAGCTCTCATCTTTGAAAGCTAGGGACACTGGCGCTGAATATTCCACCTTGCTGCCGCAAATAAACTATACATCCGTCAAAAACCAGCTTGTCAGCTCTCTATTTTCACATTTGTCACCGAGAGTCCTGCGGCACTGGATCACTCGCTCCATTGTGTCATTCAGGCTCAATTTGCTGAGGGGATTCCATCTCCCATACCACCAACGCAGCTTGCAGCGCCTCTCACCTATGCTGAGGCCATTACCCGTTCCTATGCTTGACCGACGCCAACACCATCCGCCCCAGTCACCAAATTCTACTCGCCACCACCCCCTGTTCTTCCAATACGCCATATTTTCGCGCAACCCCTCTCGCCTCCCGGACCACCTCCCAACCCTTGGCGCATTGTTACGAAGCGCGACGCCAACACGGTCCTGAAGGCGCCACTGCTGTGAAACTTGCCGCGAAAGTCACTGCTGTTTGGTAGCCTGTGTTTGTCAGCTCGCGACTGCTTCTGCGCAGAGCTGATAGACGAGCAGACAAGACGAGGGTGAGTTAAGGGCAAGGTTTATGTACAGCATAGAAATAGAGGCGTTACATACTCGGCACTGGGGCCGACAACTTAGACACTTGAAGAGCCGAGGTGTATTCTCTCTGACGCATACGTCGGCTGCTCTCTGACGCATAGGTCGGCAGCTTCGCGAAGCGCCGCGTGGTTCTTTATAAGCCTCAGGTGGTCCTTTACGTCACCATCGTCCAATCAGAACTGCCGCCGGGTTGCGTAAAGACCCTCCAATGGGGACCAACCGCTGGGTTGCTTCATGCTCCTCCAATCCGTAGCCGCTGCACTAGGTTGCACCCAAGGACGAGTGATGTTGCCACACATTGCGTAAGACTAGCCAGACGGGATGGCGCCGATTTCTTCATTGTGCTGCTATCGGGCCCGTGGGCTGAGGGAGCTCGCCATGCGTAGCGTAAGACAGACCGGCGCCGCCGCTTGATGACGTCTTTGAGTTGATGGGGTCAGGCGGGCTCCCTCGCTGGCCTTGACACAGATTGCCTTTGCAGAGGCAATGACGTTCAGTGTGGACTTTTAGGCGTAACAGCACCCTCGACGCCAGACAATGCGCCAGAAAGACGAGCTGCTTCCATGTGGCTCGGATGTCGGGCGCGCTCGTTCGCCAGGTCCCTCCAGGTTCGCCTCCAGGGACATGGGGAGGATGTCACTTTAGGCTCAGTTCCGTTAACACATACCATTCTTGAAGGCGGATCCCAGCTCCACTGGCCTATCGCCAAAACATGTCGACTAGCTTCGCTCGTCTCTTCTGACAATTTGTGGTCTCCGTACTTGTCGATCTTTCTGCAACTTGTCAAGAACGGTTCGACAACAGACAACATACGACACAAGCAAGTGCCCTCGGTTACCCGACAGAACACCAGACAAAATATAGTACAACATATAGCTAGCTACGTGTATATCGAAATTTCGTTCCCTCTACATCAAAAGGCACATGTGGGACACAAAATTCTTGAAATGAGAACTCAACTTTTTTCACTCGTACAACAAAGTAATGAACTAAAATACAACATAAAGTTGGCCCTTTAAGATCACTCTGGACGAGAGCCCTCAGCTGAGGCTGTGATGAGGACAAAATTTTGCCCTGACTCGCCAGAAAAAGACCGAAAGTTGGAGAAGGTACTAACTAAAACGCACAGCTCAATGCGTCTGCATTGGCGTATAGCTTTTCTTTCTTGTAGCGAACGTCTAAGTTGTGCTGTTGGAGTATTATGCTCCACCTCAGTTCCCGGCCACTTTTAGGCGACATGTTATTCAACCAGGTTAGAGGACTGTGGTCCGTTTCGACCACAAACCTCGAACCAGAGACATAACAGGCTAGCTTTTGAACGGCCCACACGAGGCAAGCACATTCCTTTTCAGAGGTACTGTAAGACTTTTACCTGCAGCTCAGACTTCGACTTAAATACAAAACTGGCTTTTCGTCACCAGCGCTGTCTTCCTGGCACAAAAAAGCTTCCAACTGCAGCATTTTTTCGACCTCTTCTTTCATGACCTGCTTTTACACAAGAGAACATCGTTACGGCTTGCTACGGATTGGCTCCTCACAAGCTAGCTTCATATCGTGTTCAATCACCGTCGTGTTTGCGGGACGGTCTGAAAACAAGTCTCGGAAATAATCCTCCTTAAGTGTTCCTTCTGGACTTCACTTAACCTAGGCTCCAGGTTCAACTGCTCCAAGATCACATCTAATCCCCTTTTCGTTCCGTCACTAGTAGTAAAAATATTTCTGCTCCTTCTTCCTCTGAAGCATTCAAAAGCAGATTTACGACCGCTTGACGTTAGACATATGGTTTCGTCAAGTTATGGTGGTAAATTTTGTTCGGCCGCCTTCCTAATTTCACTTCTAATTGGTATCAGAAAGCTTAGATATTACTTTGGCAGGCCCTTTCCAATGAACTTCAAGCTTGTTGCTTTTAGACGGCCGCAGAAGCATTACGTGACTACCCACTTCAAAGGTGCATTTCTTCGCCGATTTGTCGTAGTACTCCTTCGACAACACTTGTGCAGCGTTCATGTGGCTTTCCACAAGATCTTTCGTTTTTCCACGCCTCTGAAGGAGGTCCACAACATAAGCAACTGCATTAGGGTCTTCATCAAATTCCTCGTAGGACTTGCGTAGTATTCGCAATGGTGTTCTTAAACTCCTACCATACGCAAGCTCTGCAGGTTAAAACTAGTGGTCTTGTGAAAAGCTGATCACAAAGCGAACATAGCGGTAGGAACAAACGCTTCCCAGTCGAATTTGTGCTCGTAGCAAAGAGCTCTCCATATCCGTTTCAGAACGAAATGCATACGCTCTACCGCATTAGATTGCGGGTGATGGATCGAGCTGTGCACTACTTTTATTCCGCATTTATCCAAAAAGGTAGAGGTAAGGCAGCTCGTGAAGACATTACCGTTGTCGCATTAGATTTCAGAAGGAAATCCGACGCGCGCAAATATAGATCGCAGTGCATCCACTACAAGAGGAGAATTGAGCACCTTAAGCGGTATCGCTTTTGTAAATTTTGTGGCTACACAGACAGCTGCTAGGACGTACCAACAATCTTGCCTTGACTCTGGCAATTGCTCGACAATATCAGTTACAAGGTGCCGAAAAGGTTCTGTGATAATTCGCACAAGCTTAATGGGTGCCTTCCACTTGTCCGTGGATTTCTCCGCTCTCTGACAAGTGTCGCATGAACGTACAAAGTCGTCAATATCCAATAAAACTCAAGGGAAATTCTAGCCTTGGTCTTATTTATGCCGAGATGTCCTGCCCACGCGTTTTCATGCGCCAGTTTCAATAGTTAGCCATTATACTTTTGTGACACCAAGAGCTGCTCATATCTGTGACTTTGCACATTTGTGTTGCTCCGATACAGAAGCCCTGCCTTCTCCAAAAAAGATACAATCTTTTTCTTTCTTCTCAACTTGACGCTTTCCATAAGCGCTTTATTCGAGAGGTACTCACGCTGCTTTCGAATGAGCTTTTCTCGATCTACCCTCCACAGCT